GTATGCATCCCCTTCTAACGGAAAATATCAGGTCCCTGTAGTCTAAGGACCTAACATGCTACCTGATACATGATTGTTGCAACTGAACTGAGTTCTTCCTTCAAGAAAGCATCTAAGAAAGCAATGTTGGAGATAAAGTTGTATAACAACATGCCAATGTTTAGAAAGAGAGGAAGACCTTTAATGAGGTAGATTGACATAGTGACTGAATTAATGAACTCATGTGTGTCAGAGATGATGAATGGCCCAGGATAGGACAGGATTTAGACCTTTTGTTCATAGGAATGCTGTGAGTCATACTTGACTAACAACTGTGCTTAGAATGCTAAACCTTTCTAATTGAGTTGAGGCATATAACATGTTAAAAGGCTACAGTAGTGAAGCGATACAATGGCAGCCCCTTTCAGTGTCTTCAAAGAATGAAAAAGTTGTCTCGATGGTTTGGTAAATCAAGACAATTATTCTGATTCTATCTTTAGGGCCTAGGACTCAAGTGAGATGTAGCGTGTGAGTTACCTGTTAGGGATTGATCTCAATATTCACCAGCCACGTTCATAGGCAGTGAAATCCAGCTGAAATGAAATCTTAAAAGAAACTGTATTGGAAGGCTTAGAAGCTGTACTCTTAAGCTTAGATTGTAACTCTGAGGATAAAGGTAGACTCTCTATCTAGTCAGTAATTATTGATGACCTGATATGTGTCAGGGGGAGGTCTGGTGGCCTAGTGGTAAAGAGTTGCACTGCCAACCAAAAAAGCAGGAAGTTCAAACCTCCCAGCTGCTCCACAGGAGAAAGATGGGCAATCTCCTTCTATGTGACTTATTGCCTCTGAAAAACCGCTAGAGGGTCAACTATCAGTTCTTAATTGATGACAAATAACATAGCAATATGTTCCAGGTACCAGGGTAAGGACTGGACCATATGGATGAATAAAAGTTCAGTGGAGTTCCCAAGTTAGAGTTTAATCTAATGAGAGAGACAAGAGATGTAAAAGTAAAGTGGTCTCAATGGGAAAATTGTCACTGAGGATATAAAACTGCTGTGGTGGCTGAGAGTAATCAAACGGGTGCTTCTTTTGAGTGTTCAGGTTAAGTTGAGACCTTAGGTTGCTATGGAAGTGGCCACATGAACAACCAGAGAACAAATAATGGGACACAGACGGAAAGGCCCAGGTGTGTGTAGGAAGTTTGTGTACCACGAAGATTTGTTCTTTAACATAAACTTGCCAGAAGCTTCTCTTCTATTATTTCAACTGCTTTCTACTATTTGTGGGGTTCCCGCTTAGGGTCCCAAAGGCTTCTGTTCATTCAATGTGCAAAATGGCCTCATTTCCCACATATCCTCCTCAGGCTCACTGGGACTTTGCCATTCCATCAAGAACTGCCCTTGACACTGACATCATTCTGATTCCGTGGCCTACATTCTGCCTCTGGTCCCAAGAGAGAAGAGTCACTGACGCAGAGGAGCTGCTCAAACACTGTCTGTGGGAATTTCAGATGAACGTCTCTGGATCATCAGACAGTTGATTTTGTTTATTTCTTTGTGGCTTTGTCTGCTCACTGACCTTGGCATGGATGGGTGACTTGGGGGAGCACAAACTGACTAGAATTTGGAGATTGACAGAGAGTTCTATGAGATGGTTCTCCGACGGTTTAGTAGAAAGGAGTTGTGCTGCCAATCAGAAGGCTATGGTTTGAATTCATGGGAGAAAGATGATCAGTCTTCTCCCATGTGGTGTATTACTTCTGAGAACCCACTGGATGGTCAGTTAGGAGTCAGACAGTACCCAGTAATAGCAACAGAGTACATAGTAAGAGAGTTGTAGACTGGTGGGATACTTCTGGCTCCATAGATTATTCAGGTGGCCACTTAACACCCCACATCTTCAATCAGAAATTGAAGGTTTTGTGTAAGTAGCCTTCAGTATCTGTTCCTCCATACGAACCCATGGGGTAGCACTATGTGCTACACTCCTGTGAAAGAAATACTATCTTCAGACCTCAGCGAAGTTTAGGCAACAGTGATGGCGTACAATTGGTGGGACTCTGCTATCTTCAGAGCACTTTCATCTACACGGTCGCATTTGATTTTCTCCAGCAATGGAAGGTGTTTAAGAGTGTTCTGTTTTTCACAACTGACAAGATCTGAAACTTGTCCAGGGTCACAAGAGGAATGACACTCACAGCGGATGGCGTCTCCCTTGACTGGATGTGGCATTAAGGACCAGCTAGGATCACTATTCTCATCAGTGGAACTAGAGTTTACTTCGTAAAAGAGTAGTTACTGACTTTTGTTTGCTGCAGACTCTTGTGACATTGCTCAAATTTAAAGGTTTTTTTTTTTTTTTAAATTATTTTAGCAAAATTCTTTGGTTTTAAGGCTTAGACAAGCAATAGAAAAAAAAAAAAAAGCAATCAGGTTGGATCTTCTGGAGAAAGGGAAGTTCTGGCAGAAGCGAGCCATCTCCTGATTTTCTCAGAACTTCCAGTACCTTTCTTTCTTATCTGGAAAGCAGTTTCTTCTGCTTTCTTACAGCTCTTATTTCCCCTTAAACAAGTGCTGCACGTGGTTGAGGCCCCTGGCACCAGCTCTGGCCCACTGACCTCAGAAAATATCAGATCCATCGCGCACTGTGAACTCCCTTCCCCTCAGTCTTCTCTTTTTGTTCCCACTGCCATCAGGCAGGAAGAAGTCTGTGGCACCTACATCAAGTTTTAACTCTAAGTATTTGTGGATAGGCTCGTAGTAACGAAAGTTGGTAGATGGAAAATACTCATTGCTGCCAAGTTGCAACTAATTCATAGCTGACCCTCCAGTGAGTTTTCAGAAGCTATAAATCTCAGGGGAGAAGAGAGAGAGAGCGCATCTTTCTTCTCAGGAGCAGCAGGATTCGAACTTCCTTCCTTTGGGATAGCAGCACAATTCCTTGCTCACCAGGTTACCAGAGCTCCCTTGCAGATAGAATAGGCACACCAATTCTTCTATTACACTAATTTTCTAAAATGCTCCCAAGTTGAAGAACTGTAAAGGTACCTACTATGTCAAATCAGGGTGGAACCCTCCCCTCAAAGAGAGAACAAGAACAACTTGCTTCTCAATTTGAGGTATGATAGAGAAAACAAAATAAAATAAAGCACTACAGTAACAATTGAACACATTTTGGCCCCAGCCCTTCCCCTATCATGACTTCTAGACTAATTCCCCCAAGTACATGAGGGGACCAAGGAATCTTAAAATCTAAAAGCGAGGAGAGATTTTGATGGGATTATATAATCTAGCCTGTAGGCCACAGAGCTGATTAGAGGTGGAGCAGTGGAATATTTCTCTTTACATCATCTTGGTAGAGCCTACACAGGCTTACCCAGAGAGTCAGAGATAATGTTATGATAATGCAGTTTATTAAAGGAGTGCCTTGATGGGGCATGGACTGGGGGGGGGGGGCACAAGAGAGGAATCTCCCTAAGAGGCAAATGGACAGTAAACAACCTTTAAATGCCCTCATTCTTGCTCTCTAAAAACTTACATACATCCAAGAAAGATCTCACCATTGATTTGCACTATTACTGCTACAGAACAGTGACAGAGGAGGGGTTGTTAAAACGGGGCTAGGACCATCCTGCTGTGAGAGGATGTGGGACTTCTGGTTCCACACTGCAGGCTTTCAAAACTGGGTACTGGTGGCCTAGTGGTCAGGAGCTGCACTGCCAACCCGAAGGCGCCAGTTTCAATCCACAGCCGCTCCATGGGAGAAAGTTGGACAGTCTCGTGTGATTTACTGCTTCTGAGAACCTGAGGGAGGGTGGTTTCTGACTCAGTGGCACATAATAACAACCATCACTTTATAATTTAGTACCACTTACTAGCTTCACTTACTCAACTTCAGTTGCTTCTCTTTCCCTATCTTTAACATGGGGAAAATTTTACACCTACTTCATGGAATCAATGTGAAGATTAAACGAACTAGTATCTGACATTCTTAGAACAGTGCTTGTTATTATGGCTTGAATGTCTCTGGAGAGCTAACAGCGATTCTTTTGGAGCCGAGAAACTCGCATTTAAAAGCCTCTCATGGACTAGGTTAAACGTATCCCCTGGTTTGGAGAAGAATTAGAGAGGGAAAAGGGGGATATTTATTGATTGCTTTATCTTTATTATCCCTTTTAAACCTTACACGATTTGCGGTCATTCTTGCTTGTATTACAGACTGTTGTTGGAGTCAGAACTGACCCATAGCTGGCCCTCCAAGCGGGGCAGTTAATCACATGGGAGGAGACTGTCCCTCCATGTACCAGGGAGCAGCTGGTGGATTCGAACCCCGTGCCTTTGCGATTGCAGTGCAGCTTCTCACCGCTAAGACATGCATGCTCATTTCCCAGACCAGAGAAGTTAATCCTTTGGGCAGCACTGGAACACCATCAGTGTGGATAAAAAGGCCTAAAGGAAGGTCTGCATGGAGACTCGCACCTAAGAGTGAAAGGGGGTAAGAAAGTTCTCCCTCGGCCCGGGGCCTGGAGGTGGGCCGGGGAGGGAGGGCCCACCAGGTGGACCCACCCCGTCTTCAAGCCCCAGGAGCCTCCACTGGGCTCTGCAACGCTGTCCGCTTAGAGACCCGGCTGCGCACCCGGGGAAACCCAGGCTTTGCGGCCTCCCCTGACCTCTCTCCCCTGCGGAAATCTGCGGACTGGAATCCGTTCATGGGCTCAGGAGGCTGCACTTGTGATTCGAGAGCGAAAGGAAAGCTCAAGAAGAGGAATAAGCCAGAGAACGCAAGGAGGACGCGGCCTGCGCGCCGCCCCGGCTCCTGCAACCCTCGCTGCTGGGCCCCTCGCGCGACGCCGGCTCGAATCCCGCCACCGGCTCGCGGCGCCGGAGGAGGCGTGGCCCGCGCGCGCCGCCATCTTGGACGCCTCTCTAGGCGCTCTGTTTACCACTCTATGGTCGCCCGCTCCCGCCCCGCCCCTCCCCAGTCATTGTCTGGAGGAGCCGCCGCGGCCGCAGCGCCTTCTCTTTATAAGCCCGCAGTGCCCGGATGTGAATGGATTACAATGTATCTTTCAGGGAAACCTATTATTATCAATGTGACTCCACGGGGGAGTCCATGGTGATGATGATGATGAGGAGGATGATGATGAGGAGACACCTCTAAACTTGGAACAAGTTTAAGACTTTATAAGAGGAGAAGAGAAAAAAAAAACCCACCACAAGATTTGTTTGAGGAAAAATTATAACTAGCTGTGCTATTTTTTTTGGTATAAACAATAAGAAAAAGTTACTGGATTTTTTTTTAAAGGATTTATTTTTGGGGGAGGGGATTTTGTTGCAGTTTTACAGTGGAACATGCCAAAACCAGAGCCAGGTGCATAATCTTGTAATTTGTGGAATATCCCTGGACCAAGACTGAGTACCAGTTAAAGTACTTTTTTTTGGGGATACACATGTGAGATCCTAAATACTTGCAGAAGATTTTTGTGTCTCTTTTTTAAAAAAAAGTCTCTTTCCTTGGAATATTGTGAGCATATTTGTGGCCATTTAAGGTAACGTTACAATTTGCTGTCAGAGTAAACTGTTTGTAATTGAATTGAATTTGAAATGTCGATCCCCGTGTTCTATTAAAACAAAAGGGAGACCCTGTTAAGTAGTTGCCAGTGGGAGAAGTAGGTGCATGCATTTTGTGTCTGGACTCGCACATTTAGCCATAACAGGGTGTGTAGAATGTGTATTTTAACACACGTTTACATAGTGAATGTTACATCTGCTGGATTAAAGCACGCTTGTTGTTACGAAACGATAGAATTAGGAAGCTGAATTTTTATCCTAAAAAGTGATGTGAAAAAGTAGGTTTAACTGCATGCAGGGCCTAGAATAGGAAAGGGTGAGTTATAAACTTAAAAGGAGAGTGCTGGTTACCAGGGACTTAGCATGCCTAAGAACTCAAGTGTAAAAACAAAACAACAGGCACCCCCCAAATTACCTCTTCCCCCCCAAGTTTGCAGCTTCAGTGGCTTCCAAGGGAGCAGGGAGAGAGAGTATCCAGCCCAGGTTTCACCCCCAACGCAAAAACTACCGAAACGCCCGTCTCCCCAGCACAATGTGTCTGGGTTTCTGTATGGAAAAGAGAAATATTGTTCCTCTTGGCAAAGTCTTTTCGCATCACGTGTATTTGCAGCCTCGCATAAACTTGCTTTGCCGCGTGTGGATGTGTGAGCGAGAGGGAAGGAGAGTCCGAGAAGGAGCGAAGTGAGGGATAGAAACTCGAATACATTTCTAAGTGCCTCCGATGGATGAGCCGGGCAAAACTGAACTGTTGAGGCTTCAGACTGTAGCCGGCGGCCGGAGGGAGGATGAGGTGCTGGGTGCATTTTCGTTTGTCTATTTCTCTTTTTGGGGGGGCCGGGCTGGGGGGGCGCGCCCCGGGGGTTCTTCCGGGGGGAGGGGACGCCCCCCGGCAGCCCGGCCCGGAGCGCGCCGCGTCTCCCCGCCGGAGCCCCCCCACCCATTTCTTTGCTGAACTTGCAATTCCGTGCGCCTCGGCGTGTCTCCCCCTCCCCCTCGCGCCGTCCCCTCCCCTCCCCGGAGAAGAGAGTTGGTGTTAAGAGTCAGGGCTCTTGGCTGTGCGCGCGCGGAGCGGTCGTGGCGGCGGCGGCGGCGGCGAAGGCGCAGCGCGGGCGCGGA